TCCCACACAAATTTTCTATTTCATTTCCTGCCACTCGCACATCATCCATCTCAATCCAGAAAGGAACTTAACATATTTTGATCACCTACCCCTTGCTAGACACTCTCCTAGGAGTTTCATACCTCTGTTGCTTTTGCAAATGTCCCCCAGTAAGCCACCCCTTCGGCCTGTTGAAATTCATCCTTCAGATCAAACTCTCAGATGATACCTCAGAGAACTTCTGTGATGCCTGATAGTTTCTTTCCTTTCTCCTTCCCCTCCTCTCAAAGTTATTGAGTTAAATCACTCTTTCCCTTGTGTTCACATAGCATTTTATAAATAAATCTGTCATAGCCGCTATGTCATTGAATTCTACATTGCTATGTCCCCAAATGAATTGTGACTCATGGATAATACCTAACTATTTTTATAGATGAAATGCCTGGAACAGTGTTTAAATATCTATATAGGTAATTATTTGAACTAAATAAATGAATGAAGCTAATGTATTTATTTAGGAGTTTTTATAGTTAGGAATACCTCCATTTCCAAAAGTGTGGTTGTAATGATCTCTTTTAATAGTAACTTGCTAAAGACAGTCACATAAGCTCCATGAGGACAAAGGACAGGTATAAATCATTTCATTAGAGAGCACCTGCCAGCTGCAACCATTCCCTCTGTCCCCAGACCTGGAGACAGGCTTAGATTTCTAAGTCCAGGCTAGCTCATACTCAATGTATGGCCCTGACAAAAACAATTGCTCAATAATTTTTTCCTTTTCCATATGTACACAAATGTGGATGTAAAAATCCTGTTATTGGTACACTAGGGAAAAAGTGGTCTCTTCCAGTGGATAAAATATTTATGAATCTCTTTTTGCATATGCTTGGAAAGAAATTTATCCAAAATTAGTTTGATTCAGTGGCTGCATTAACTCAATATTTTCTTTAGTCCAACCTCTACCATTATGGAGAATGAATGCATTAAACATAAAAATATGGTGGGATGTTGGAATTCCTTTGAATAGACCCTAGCTTACTTATAGCCCCAAGGAAATGAAAGACCTAAAGTTTGATCACCAAAGACCAATCTGACTCTAGTTATTAATGAGTACAACTATACAACTACGATTTCCCCCATAGCTATTTTCACTTTTATATGTGAAATAAATAGATTTTTGAAAATTGCAACACAACAAAGAATATTGGAGTTAATGTTGCTGATGTTATTACCCAATGTTTATTCTGAAAATGCCTTCAAAGCTTCACATGCTCCATGTCACCATTACCACTTTAGCCTGGTTACCAACAGAAAAAAGTACATTCCATTTTCTAGGCATTTGAAAACAATTTAGCTACATGTTGTTACTGTTCAATGACAATGAAAAAGCCCAAATAACATTAGAGTCTCGTAGAAATTGCATATTTTTCCCTTTAGAAACTGAAGTGGATATCTCAATACTACCCATCCCCAACTGTGTCACAATCTGTCATATTACATCATATCAAGCAGCAGAACATGGTTATTTTGGGCTGCCCCCATCATTGAAGGGATATGAAATTAAACTTGGGAGTTATCTTTTCCAGGGAAAATTTACTTTCAAAATTTTTATTAATGACAAGTGCCAACCAGAAGGTTAGATGCCAATAAATATCTAATTTTGAAAAAGGAGTCAATTTTATAAAATGTATTCAGCTTCCCAGGAATAAATCTGTTGGATTTCTCCTACCAAACTATAAGAGTTCCTGTCAACCATCTGTTCAAAAGTAGCTGTTTTCCTCGCTCTCTCACTGACATCCCTGTCACCAGCTCTGCCCCTCCTGGTCTGGAGAAGTGACTTTGAATTTTGGGAATGAAGATTTAGTTGGTATATGTGTGCTAATGGCACCACAAAATTGGGCTGGAAAAAGGTACACTGACGAGCATTGCTTTATTTAGTGATGAGCAAATCTTATGAATATAAATGATTAAGAAGCATAAAATTGGATGGATTTGTGAAAAAAGTTTTTGTCTTTTTTAAGAAAAATTAGACTTAGAATTTTCCAAGAAAGTTTGGCATTAGTTACAAATGGAACTTCGAATGTTTCCAAGAAACATTGCAAGCAATTATGTTTATCAACACAGCTGAGGCATGAAATTAGAAGATATCTTTAAGTTTGGGGAGAGAATCAGGCTTCTTTTAACTTATTTGGCTCTGATTTTCCCCTTTCAAAATTAGTCTAGTGATAAGATTGGAAAGAAGGGAAGATTTATTATACCCACTGTTGACTTTTAATGATGTGAGTTGGCATTAGAAAGAAATAAGCTTTTAAAAAATGAATGCTCAGTTATTTTGGATTGTGGAACTACACTTGAGGGAAACATCATGTGAAATTACGATCTTTTTCCATTAGATTTTACTTTTAGAAAAACCTTATGGGTGTAAAAATTTGATAGAGGCTTTTGCTCCCATTGCTATTGCATGAAAGTGTCGATACAAACTATTGCTGGCAAAGTTACTAATGACTAAATAGCTCAGACATACACACACCATGAGGTCTGCAATCTCAGTGAACAGCAGATCAAGCAAACAAACTGTAAGAACCACCACTAAAGAGGGAAAAACTTCAGTAGGTACATCATGGATTGGTGTTGGATTGATATGGGTTAGATTTCCAGCTCTGACACTATTGATTGTGTGACCTTGAGCATTTAACTTCCAAATTTCTGTTTCTCCATCTACAAAATGGGAATAATAGAAGTATCTGTATTATTAGGGTTATTAAAAGGAATAAATGAGATAAAATATGTAATATGGTTAATAAATTCATAATAAATTCTCAGTGAATGTTAGCCATAATTTTTATGATGATGATTATTGTTGTTGTCATTTACTGTATAAAAACAATTATTTTATTTAAAATTTTCTTTATTTATTTAAAAACGCTTCAAAGTCAGATCTGAGCTACATAGGTTTTTAGCTTTAAGTACACTCAAAATGTGACAAGTTAAACATAATTGCTAAGAAGTGTATTAGTGAGATAAAATAGTCCGTTTTAATTTTTTAAAACTATTTTTTTAAATGTGATTTCTATTGATTGGATCTGCCAAGCAGTCTTACCCTGAATGGCAGATATCAATTATAGATGAGCTCATGTTGGGACGTATGCCTACAGAGTTGGCTTGACACAAAAATCTCCTAACTTTTGACATTTATTTCCTCAGACCAATTGAGGATTTGAAGAATGTTATCCTTTAGATCCCTATACTTAGCGAAAAATAAGGCTAGACATGTCTTTTATAATATTCTCTACAAACAACTGGCCATACAAAAGTACGACAGTGTGGGATGGGAACTCACGTGGTACAGTTAGAACATAGGTTCAGGAATCAGACAGATTTAAGGTCTGGTCTTTAATCAATCACTTATTAGCTGCATGATTTTGCACAAGTTACTTATCTTTTCAACTTCATTTATACAATGGGTAATTAATAATATGCATTTCAGAAGATGGTTGTAAGTATTAAATGAGCCAATGCATGTCAAACATTTAGCACAAAGTCTGGCATCTTGTGAGTGCTCAGTAATTCTTAATTATTATTTTCATAATTTTACTAATTTCACTGATTTCTTGGCTGGGCAGTTGTAATCATTTTCATTATTACTTAAAAGATGATTCTAATGGGGTCATCAGTTTAAGCTTTTTATGAGCTTCACTCTGTACCATTTATAACTCATGTTACACATAGAACTGGCTACAAGGGTAATAAGTGGAGAGAGTATGAAGGTTCTGCACCAAAGAAATAATTGGGAAAACAACTTGAGGAGGATGATTTGATGAGAGAAGGTGGAAATATCATTTTCACAAATGCGTGAAATAACTGACTGTTACTATCATTAGTTGAATTTGGGGGTTTCAATTTGTATACCACAAGCAATTGAAGAAAAATACCCTACTTCTTTATAGATCGTTAATTCTTGATTTTATTTTTAGTATTGTGATATAATAGTTTTGTGGCTACTAATGACTTCATTTACATATTTTTTTAAAGGCAAGAAGAACTCATGTTTTCTTTTAAGGATGAGTTAAATCCCTAATGAATTCCTTGACGGATCTAATTATTCTAGTTTTGAATTGTCAGTTTTGTTGAGAAATGAATGTTCTTCAACTTTAGGATAATTCAAACTACCTTGTTTTTGGATGAATAAAACATTTTCAGGGAAATTTTTCTTAAAATAATATAAAGAACATTATGTTTTAATAAGGCAGGAGTTGTACTGTGGTGCTGACCTGACTGCATGAAAGCACAAAAGCAAAACTGGGCGTGGTAAACCAAAGGCCTTTGGGTTCTCAGGGCTCATGGGAATGGCATTTGTGAATCGAGGCATTGACTTCAGTAATTTTTAGGATTTAAGTAAGTGCACCATAGTTAATGACAATTTACCACCCTTGCAGCTGGAAAAACAGCAGGAATAATGACCACATTAGCTATAATGTAATGAAGAGACAAACAAACTGTGGTTTTATCTCTTGATAGCTATCATCTCTCTCTCTCTCCTTCGCTCCCTCCCTCTTTCTCCTTCCTCCCTCCCTACCATCTATCTATCAATTAGCTAATGTCTATCCAACTACTTACTCAGACAGTGCATAATGGGGCAGACTCAAGGCAAAGACTGACAGTGTCAAACTTGAAATATATGTATTTTAGTATGACTCCTTTTTTCTTCCTTTTTACAATGTTGCCCAGACATAGTCATACTCTGTGGAGGTTAAAATTCTGAATACGTGTCATCTTTCCAGGAAAATGTGAGAAGCAACGTTCAAATTATTCTCAGAATTTTATTTTTATAAAAGATGCTCTACCAGTACTATATTTTCAGGAGTTGGACTATCCTGTGATATCTGCATATTACAAAATTAAGTCTTTACTCAAAAGGAAGTTGTAAACTTATTATCAGATACCATATACTTATGTAAATAGCTTTGGCCACTCCCTCCATTGCTCACGCTTTGTGGCTGCTGGAATCTTTGTCTACTTACTGGATGGAGCTTTCAATACGGGTGACAGTGAGGAACGCAGCAAGATTTGCTGTGTAAGATGAGATGACAATCAAAGCAAATAGCCACCAAGCCCCCATCATCATACGGGTAGCCAGAGTCGTGTATGGGACCTCCCCACCTGTGGAAAGAAGTAAAGAGAATCAAAGAACATCAACCAGTATTATTGAGAATCTGAGGTTATACATGTTCAATGCCAAGTTAACTTTTAAGTAGTGAGAAATCTTTCTACATAACAACATCAGCATAGATCTCTGTATTTTGCTTATGTTCATCACTTCATATTTAATTCCCTTTTATGAGACTATGTGAGACCCAGTCAAAAAGAAGCATGGTAAATATTTAGTATAATATGTTTAAATGATATTTCTTCCACCTTCTTGTTCAACTCCAGAATTAATTACCCTCTTATTATAACCACAGATATATACTTTATTTCCAAGGGCTTGATTATTTATTAGTTAGGTGATATTAATACTATTATGCCTATATTTCATATAACTTTTCAGATGTATAGTTCAATAAAATTTAAAAAATTATTTTGGGTTAAATTCCCTAGCATCATAGGTTATTAACGATCTTGGGATCACACACATTCCTATTGGCTTCAGCATCATCACATTTGTTTTGTTCTACTCCTAATTGACTAGCCCCCTTTTTTATAATCTTGCCATAGAATCTTCCTCTCATCTTCACATGTTGGAGTGCCTTTGGGCTCAGTCTCTAGACTGCTTCTTTTCTCTGTTCACATTCCCACCTGGCTAATCTCAATTTTGACTTTGAATGTCGTCTACAGTATATTTTGATAAGGCTTGGATTTATATTTCAAGCTCCACTCTCTCTAGAGAGCAATAGATAAATGCCTACATGATTTCCACTTGGAATCTAATGGGCATCTCAAACTTATCACACCTAAAACAGAACACTTTCTTTTCACTCCCAAATTGACACCCTAGACCACGCTATCTCATGGAGTGGCACCACTCCTCCCTCTATCGCTCAGACCAGATACTTAGGAATTTTCCCACATCCCACCCAGTAGCAAGTCCTGTCACTTTTACCTTCAAACCACATGCCAAATCCAGCCTCATCTTATCACTTCCAGTGCTGTCACACCTTCTTTTGACTGTACTACTGAACCTCGTCAATGGTTTACCTGTTTACATTCTAGGCATTACCACTCCTAAGTCTACTGCCATGGTGCTCTTTAAAAATGGAAATGAGGGGCCAGCCTGGCAGCGTAGTGTTTAAGTTCATGTTCTCTGCTTTGGCAGCCCAGGGGGTTCACCGGTTAGGATCCCAGGTGCGGAACACACACCACTCAAGCCATGCTGTGGCGGCACCCCACGTACAAAATAGAGGAAGATTGGCACAGATGTTAGCTCAGGGATAATCTTCCTCAAGCAAAAAGAGGAACATTGGCAACAGATGTTAGCTCAGGGCCAATCTTCCTCACCAAAAAATAAATAAATAAATAAAAATAAAAGTGAAAATGAGATTATAACAGTCCCCTGATCAAAACTTCCAGTGGATTCCTCTCACTCTCAGAAAAAAAAATCCAAAATCGCTGCTAAAGCACACCAGGTCCTCCATGAAGTGGTCTCAGGTCACCTTTCTGGTCGTATCTCTTTCCACTCTCTCAAGGCCATCTTGCAGTTTCTTCTATGGAGCTATGCTGATTTCTGCCCTAGGCCCTTCGCACTTGCAATTTTTTTAAGCCTGGAATTCTCTTCTCTTCAATTTAAAATTGACTTTTCCCCTCAATTTATTCAAGTTTCTGTTCAGATGATACTTCACAAACACTTTATCATCACTATATCTAAAATAACTCTCCACAACCGCATACTCCCAATCCCCTTATCTTTTATAAAATCATAATTTGTCACATATTTTATATATTTTTGTTTGTTTCTCTCCTTTATAATATAGTTTCTGATATAGGAGCAGTTCGTATCCCCTATTAGGTGGGTAAATATTTGTTGAATGAATATATGTTTTATATAAAATTAATAGTCCTTCTAAAAGAAATTAGGTTTATGCTAATAGTAGAAATAAATCAAAGAGATATAATATTACCTTTGCTGAAGTCCATCAATATGTGAATGACTTAACAGGATTAAATTAATTATAATTTCAGGCAGATTTTTATGCCAACCACTAATTCTCACTGTGTAATATCTAAATTTTCAGTGTAGTGCAAACATACCCTTTGGTTATGTCCTGAGCTATTTTCCTGATGTAATATACTCTGAACAGGCTAACCTCTCACATTTGGAACACATTTTTCAAAAGCAGTTATAGTGCATTTCAGGTACTTTCTTCTTCAAAGCAAAGGAAATATTCATTTTTAAATCTACAAGGGAATATCCTGGACAAAACAACTAATTGAAAAAATGATAATAAAATATGAATAAGATGATAGCTAAAGACTGAAAGATGTTAATATGTATAACAAAAGTAGAAAAAGAAATTCATGACTGACAAGACTAATAGATTTGCTTCCATCAAGTCTTTAACTTTGTTTAGAATCCTTATCACCCATATGAAAGAATATTTGTTGAGCTTTCTTCATCCATGGCATAAAATCTTAAACTTGGGTAATTCAAATATTCTTGTAGAATCCAAATAAAATGATATTTAGAGCACTTAGAAATCAAATGTTAAAAGTAATGGGACTCTTAACTTCCAATTCTGGTAATTCAAAACAATCCTCCCACTGACAGCAACTAGACAAATTGAACATAGCATTTGAGAACTAAAGAAGCAGTAAAAAATCCAAAGACCAAGATCTTGGAGAAAAAGATAACCCAGAATTGTGACTTAGTATTTAGGACTGCTTGTCCCTGATGGCTAAATGCCAATTGAACAAGAGGAAGCTAAGAGACTGAGAAACTGAGCAAGGCTTTAAAAGCCTTCAAAAGTTAGGTGGCTGTGAAAACTAGGGCCTAGCGCTTACCAAATGGAGGTGGGACTGAGAAAACTAGAAAATCCTCATAAACTTGGAAATAAATAATTAAAATTCTACTAAGCCATAGGTCTAGAAAAAAATCACAAGAGAAATAAAATATATTTTGAGTGTGATGATAATAAAAATACTCCATACCAAAACTCTACAAGTTTTGATAGTTGATAGGATGCAGTTAAATATGTGTTTAGAGGGAAATTCATAGCCTATAATGTATAAGAAGAGAAGGCTGAAAATCAATGGGCTACTCATTAATTTCGAGAAGTTAAAAAAAAAAATCAACAAGTTAGACCTAAAGAAAATAGAAGGAAGGACATAATAAACATAAGAGAAAAAATTAATAAAATAGACAAAAAATAAATACAGAAGGTTGATCCAACAGAAGTTTGGTCCTTTGAAAAGACTTATAAAAAGCTGTTGAGATTGATCAAGAAAATAAGTACATGTCCAAAAAATACAAAAATAGGAATAAAGAAGGTATGTTGTTACAGATGTTACAGACATTAGAAGCAGAAAAAGAGGAGGATCTTATGTAATTTTATGCCAATAAATTAATTTATTAATTAATAAATAAAGTAAAATAATTTAATAAATTAATTAATCCAAACTAGGAAATTGACATGATATGGAAAAATTTCTAGAAAAATTACCACCAAAAGGAATATAAAATCTGAATAATCTTATAACTACTAAACACTTTGAATCCACAATGAAAACTTACCCACTGAAAAATTCAAAGCCAATGGCCTTACTGGCAAAATCTACCAAATATTTTTGCAATAATTAACTCTAATATTTCACAAACTCTTCCTGAGATTAGAAAAAAGCAAGACACTACTCCATACATTTTACAAAGAAAGCACAACTTTTATAACAAAATCTGACAAGGTCATCCCAAGAAAGGAAAATTACAGGCTGATTTTTCATATGATTGTAGATGCAAAAGACAAACAAATTAGCAAACTGAAAATTGCAATAAATAAATAAATAAGCACACTGGATTTAATATATAAAAGCAAGGGTTGGCTTGTCATTCAAAAATCAATCACTGGAATTCAGTACATTAGCTCTATAAAGGAGAAAAATCATATAATAGGTTTCACAGATGCAGAAAAAGCACAGATAAAGTTCAACATCTAGTCTTAAAAAAACAAAACAAAATAAACCTAGAAATAATGCAGCAAACTAGAGGTAAAAGAACTTTTCTTAGTCTCACAAAGAGTACTTTCAGAAAACCTGCGGCAAACATCATACTTATTAATAAAATAAGAATTTTTAAAGACTGTCTTAAAGGCTACAAGTTGTTGCCACAGCTATTCAACATTGAATCGAAGGTACTAAACGGTGTAATGCAATAACCTCTCAAAAAAAGAAAAGGAAGAAGAAATACTTTAGAATTGGAAAGAATGAAATAAAAGTTATGGATTGGAGATGATGTAAACATGTATGTAAAAAATCCAAGAGATTATAGAATAAATTACTAAAATTAATGTTAGTTTATCATTTACTATGGTACAGAGTCAATGTTCAAAAATCAATCCATATATGTATATGCCAGCAACAAACACTTAAAACATGGAATTAAATAATATATACCATTTGCAATAGCATTAAAAATATCAAATACCTAGGAATAAAGATATGAAAGACCTCTACATGAAAATCTATAAAACACTTTTGAATGAAATAAAAGAAGATTAAATAAATCAACAGACATATCGTGTTTATTGATTGAAAGACTCAACATTGTAAAGATGAAAATTCTTCTCAAATTGATCCATAGATCCAGTGGATTGCCAATCAAAATCCCAGATTCTTTGTTTGAGTGTGTGTGTGAGTGTGTGGGGGTGTGTGTGTATGTTTGTGTATGAGAAGCTGAAGGTAAAATTTATACAAAATTGCAAAAAGACAAAAATAGCCAAGACAATCTTCAAGAAGAAAAAGACTGTTTCTAGCCGACTGTATCTTTGTGTAGTAATTAAGATGGTGTGGTATTTGTACAAGGATAGACCAAACCAATGAAAATTATCCATGTATACAGAGGCCTTTGATTTATGCCCAGCTGGCACTGCAGTACTGTACAGAAAGTTCTTTTCAATAATACTACTAAGTCAATTTGGTCATACACACAAAAAATAATAAAACGTTTCCTAACT